GTAACCTCAAATCACCGCCGAGCATTAGATTTGACAATGTTACTGTAAAAAATAAAACTACAGTGTGTTATCTAGGATTAGTTTTAGAAAGAAACTTTTCATTTATCGAACATATTAAAATAGTTAATGAAAAGTCTAAAAAGAGTTTCTGTGCATTGACAAGGATATCAACTGCGACATGGGGTCTATCATTTAATACATTAAAGATCATATACGGAGCTACTTATTTAGGTTCTATGTGCTATGGTGCACCTGTATGGGCCGATAGGGCGACCGTAGGCGCTGTCCGTCGCAAACTGTTACAAGGCCAACGACTTGCGCTGATATTCTTGTGTAAGGCATATAGGACGGTTAGCACTGAGGCTTTGCCGGTGTTGGCGGGTGTGCTTCCGGTCGATCTCGAGGTGCAGAGACGTGCAGCCATGTACTATTCAAGACAACAAAACATGGAATGCGATTTTTTGGGCGCGCGGGATCGCGGTAAAATTACAAGATTGCTTCAACAGCAGCCCGATGTCTATAATGACCTCGTAGACGAATGGCAACAACGCTGGGATGAATCATCCAAGGGGCGCCATCTTTACCAATTCTTTCCATCTGTTCGCGAACGGTTGTCGAGGATATGGCTTGAGGTGGATCACTGTGTCGCTCAATTTCTTACAGGTCATGGTTACTTTAAGAGCAAGCTTTATTCATTTAAATTAGTCGAGTCACCATTGTGTCAATGCTCAACACCTAACTCTCACTATGAACAGTCTGCTCATCATATCCTCTGGGAATGTAGTCTTTGGTATAATGAACGTAATATAATGCTGAATAGCTTGCAGGTGACATCTGGGGCGGTATACTATGGGGATCTTGTGTCAACTAGGGTGAATTTCCGTGCGTTTAGGCGATTCTGCCATACATATTATAGAAATCAAACATAGCTCACGTAGGACCCGTAATATTTGTGGCCGTGGTGCTTCCCTGTTTTAAAGGGTGTATGCCCATTTTATTTCATTTTGTCTCCCGCTTTGCTAAGGAGGGAAGTGGATTTACTGTATTTCCAACTCCTCCAATTTTCTTCTGATTAATTTCGTTGCGGGTTCCAAGACAGTTTAATTTCTTCCTGGGACTTCCCGAGTGTCATAACTCGGTGTGTTCGTGGGTCACTGCTGTGGATCCTGGTGTACAGGAGTTACAGTGGTGGGCGTGTGGGTGGGATTAGTCCCAATTTAAAGCCCAAACTTTCCCTTCAATTCACTGGAATTCACTTCCCTTCGCGGCACTGTGCGACTAACGTGTGACTTCGTATGCTAACAATTTAATATTGTTTTCTGTGCTTTTAAGTGACTAGTTCCCGGTTTGCGGGCGGCTAAAGGATGTGTATAGTGTTTCTAAGGAATTTCAGTAAGTTTTATTGTTTTTTAAACGGAAATATAGTGCCGAATTCTTTTATTACGACTATTGGTGAGTAAATTTATTTTCTTTCTAAAAGTGGGTAGGATGTATCCTTTGTTTACATTGATTTTTCTCTGCGGGTTGTTTATTTTTAAGCTTGTTCTTTTTAAAATTGTTGATTAGTGTGTCTTTGTTTGGCTATGTCGGTCGTTAGCGAGTTGCCGGATCCCGGCGGTACAAGTGAATTTCTAACACCAACCGGGAAAAGGAAATTTAACGAAATATCACCTACGGATTTCTCGCCGAAAGACAATAGCCGTAATGAATTAGTTAATGATCAGGGATCTCGAATGAATGTAGGTAATAAAACGGCGATTATGGATATTACTCAATGAATAACCGGTATCGTATCCCTGTTAGCAATAAAATCCTTTAGTAACGAAACGAAGTTAGCGAATTTTGAGCGACAAATGGAGGGTATCGCAACTCAACAAACGAGTTTAACGTACGCGGACAAACTTAAGCTTCGCTTACCACCTAAATCTGCCCCGTGCCCGGTACCTACTGAAGCGCGTATTCCTAGTCCTTGTGTTATTGCCTATCCCACTACGGAACGCTTAGCGGACTATGCGACCTCACAGCAACGAAACAAGCTCTCATGAGGGCTATTAAACTGAGCGATGAGGGTTTCCAAGTTGTAGGCGTTAAAAAAGGCAAGCGTCGTGTTACGTGTAGCTAACGTACGGCAGCTTAAGAAACTGGAATCTGTAGACGCCATTAAATCAGTGATTAAAAGGCCGAAAGCCCCGCATAATTGTAAAAGACGTACCCGGTTCTATGGAAGATCGTGCCTTCCTAACAGCCTTATACCGTCAGAATATCCGTTTAATTTTAGAACAAAAGTTAGACATTCTCCTTATACAAGAACAATATCAGAACGCTCGCTTGCGTCGTAATGTAAGTAGTACAGCTTGACTGCCGTTCGCAGGCTGGGATATATGTTGCAAGTTCTAATTTTACGGTAACATCTTTGCGTAATCTTATGACGTCACACTGCGCCGTTGCTGAGATCTCATCTTCTACCTGTAAGGTTTACGTAGTGAGCTGCTATTTTCAATATTCACATCCTATTGATCCTCACTTACATCACTTACGTTACGTCTTGCAGTTCCTCGTATGATATAAAATTATCATTGCCGCTGATGTCAATACGTCATCTTCATTATGGTATGGCAAGTTGAGTTCAACCGACACGGTTTGCCGTTGTGCGGTTGAAGATTTCATTGCGGAAACGAATCTTACTATTCACAATACCCCCGATGCACCACCAACTTTTCGCAACCCAATGTTTGAGTCCTCTATTGACGTCTCGATATCCGGATGGCGTGTCCTCCCGGAGGCATCCTGTAGTGATCACCGCTTGATCGTGTACGAATTATGAATTCGTACACGATCAAGCGGTGACACACTGGGAGCACTGAGGCTTTGCTGGTGTTGGCGGGTGTGCTTCCGGTCGATCTCGAGGTGCAGAGTCGTGCAGCCATGTACTATTTAAGACAACAATCCCGGGATCGCGGTAAAATTACAAGATTGCTTCAACAGCAGTCCGCGGACTGCTGACAGACGTATGGCAACAACGCTGGGACGAATCATCCAAGGGGCGCCATCTTTACCAATTCTTTGAATCTGTTCGCGAACGGTTGTCGAGGACATGGCTTGAGGTGGATCACTGTGTCGCTCAATTTCTTACGGGTCATGGTAACTTTAAGAGCAAGCTGTATTCATTTAAATTAGTCGAGTCACCATTGTGTTAATGCTCAACACCTAACTATCACTATGAACAGTCTGCTCATCATATCCTCTGGGAATGTAGCCTTTGGTATCATTAACGTAATATAATGCTGAATAGCTTGCAGGTGACATCTGGGGCGGTATACTATGGGGAATTGTGTCAAATAGGGTGAATTTCCGTGCGTTTAGGCGATTCTGCCATACATATTATAGAAATCAAATATAGCTCACCTAGGACCCGCAATATTTTGTGGCCGTGGTGCTTCCCTGTTTAAAAGGGTGTATGCCTATTTTACTTCATTTTGTCTCCCGCTTTGCTAAGGAGGGAAGTGGATTTACTGTATTTCCAACTCCTCATATTATATATATATAAAAAATGCCCAAACACCTTCTTTTTTTTAAATATGGATTAATCCCACCCACACGCCCACCACTGTTACTCCTGTACACCAGGATCCACAGCAGTGGCCCACGAACACACCTAGTTATGGCACTCGGGAAGTCCCAGGTAGAAATTTAATTTCTACCTGGGACTTCCCGAGTGCCAGGAGGAGGCCTTCCTGGAGGAGTTGGAAATACAGTAAATCCACTTCCCTCCTTAGCAAATTCTTAGCGTCCATGGGCGGGGTCGTCCCTTATCATCAGGTGTCTGCTCGTTTGCCCTAGGCGTTTGCTCGAAGTCGAACACAAATAAAGAAAATATTTTACCTTTAAATAAAAATACACATTATTTTTTGAAAACTTTATATGGTAATAGAATAGGCATAACACATTGAGCTAAATTTTTTCCTGTGGGTACGTTTGTGTATCTTAATATTTTATTTAACAACAAAAGAAAAATTCGCATTTTCTAACAATAACATTTCTTTATAATTGCAATTACACTGTACACAATTGCATTTTACAAAATATTGCTGAGACACATGTGTACATTAGGTACTACATTTAGGTGCCTGACTTAATAACTATTATACAATTTGGTGAATAGGTGCCTCACTACAAAGAACATTTCAAATCTAAGTAAGGCATTCGACATATAGAAATACAATAACATATTTTTTTAAGTTTCTTCTAATGTAGCAGGTAGGTACTTCCAACTATTTTTAATCAGTGTTTAGGAAATATTAAATTAATATTTTAAACCGGTTACCATTATTTAAAAAAAATTAGGAGCAATTTATTTTGGATATTTTAGAACTATAAACTTTGAACTAAACCCAACCTCTTTTAATTTAGCAAAACGAAACATGAATTTGATCGAGACCCAAATAACCGATATAACAATTTAAATCGCTTGTATACTTTTGTGTTACTTTGTGGCAAATTTGAATTACTAAAGTAGACAAATAGTTGAAAGACAATTATTTAAATTTCCCGTGTTACATTATTAAAAACTAGTCATGAAAACATATAGTCACTGTAATTATTGTTCATTATTATCTATAATGTTTATTATATAAATAAACTATAAATTCATCTTAAGAATAATGCATTACTAGATGACAGATTAGGAATGACAAAATGTCTACCATAATGAATATCTCAATATGATAGACATTTTACACAATCAATACAATTTTTTAGACAATCTACTAATTGCTCATTGTTTCGTGTGTGAGTGTGTGAGATATATATTATTATTATTATTTCATTAACAACACCATAAATATTAACTATACATAGACGTCATTAAAAATATATATTTATCTGTAATATAGAACACACAACACACAAATTTATATGAATAACTAAAATAATTATATTAATTTAATAGTTTACAATTAATATTGAATAAGTAATACTGAACATTAAAAAATATCAGGAAGTTAGTCTGGTACATTGGTTGGTGCTAACGGAATAACAGTTAAAGTATGATTTATAGAGTAACAAGGATTAATCGGGTCTCTAGTTTCTTCCGCAACAGGCGTGCAATTTAAATTTGAATATGTAACGTTGTCTGTACCAGTAAGCTTGAGAGCCGTTGGTTCATTTAATACAGTACTATTTCCAATGACATCAGTTACTTGGGCAGCTTCATTTGTACTGTTACTCAGATCACTTTGTGCATTCTCAATAATAGGAGGCTCTGTGACATTGTTTTCAGCTGCACTGTTTAATAGAATTGAACATGGAATCGTAGTCATATATTCCTTACCAGTTTTTGTAAGGACCGTAACGGTGCATTTGGTCGTGTCATTTGTATTCTTATTAATACTGGTATCTTTTATGTCCGATTCAGGTGTGAAAGAAGTAGCAATTGCACATGGAATTGCAACAACTTCAGTTTTAATGTCGTTACTAATAGTCAAACTACAATTGACAAGATCAGCTAAAAAAGAGTCAGTGGTTACAGTGGTATCGTTAGCTGGTGCAACTGCAACCGGCTGCCCTCTATTATCATAAATGACGGTGTGATGATTATGGCCGGTAGATCGTGCTAAGTTCCACAAAGCTAAACCTGTTAAAACTGTCCCTATACCGGCACCTGCTATACCGACACCTGTAAGAGCACTTCCAGCTCGACTGACTCCCCCGTTTCCTTTGCCATAGTTTCCAAAGTAACCGGGCATTTGTTGACCATAACCAGCGTTATAGCCATGCCCACCATAACCGCCGTAATTGCCAACATTGGAGTAGGCAGGTGGAGGGCCTTGAGGGTGATTATAGTTGTTTCCATAATTATTTTGTCCTTGGTACTGACGATTGTTGTCACCAGGCCTGTACTCAGAATAGGGTGGAGGTGCTTGTGGAGCTCTACCACCCATTTGTTGAGGATAGCTACTTCCAGAATGTTGTTGAATATTACCGGGTTGACCACTACCAGACAAACTAGATCCTGGTGATTGTGGATATCCTGCTTGGTTGCCTGGACTTCCCGATAATCCAGTCGAAGATGGGTACGCATGACTCGGTTGATTATTGGTATGACCTTGTTGCGTTGCTAAATTATTAGAAGCGCTACTTCGCTGTATACTTTCTTGATTGGTTTGTGTTTGTTTAGGTTTGTTGCCTGATAAGCCTGTGCCACTAGAAGGATATGAATGAGTATTCGTTGGTTTCGTTTTCTGGGCCGGCTGTTCTTGCCAACCAGAGAGTGAAGGTTTCTGTGCGGATGGTTGTGAATAACTGAACGATGTTGGAGCCGGTTGAGGGTTGTAATTAGTTTTCCTACTTGAGCCACGACCTGAGCCGGAACTACGACTTCTTCCAGTTTTCTTGCCTTCAACACTGATTATTATCAAAACCGCAAAAAGTGTTATTAGAATTTTGAACTCCATTTTAAATTTCCTACCACTAAGGCATTAAGTTGTCTCGTATAAAAGTATCAATTTGCACTATATTCACTCATTCGACGAAGTTCTGTGTCAGTTCGCGTAGCAAGACTATCGTGTATCACAATGCGATCCTTGAGCGTTAAATGAATCAACTTATTGGTTCATTGTGGCCGCCCACCCTACTGCGCACTAAGAGGTACCGACAGGCTACGTTTGTGACCTACGGAACGGAACAGAATAATTGCTGAAATTACTCGCTCGTAAAATCAATATTCTAACATGGAAACCCAAACAATGGGGTACAAACAAAACCACCCTACCAAGTTGTTGCTGTGTTACCTTTAATCGATAATTTATATATATATTTCTACAGGATGGAGTGGTCAAAGTAGTCTTAAATTGTAATGTGGAACCTTAGATACGTGGAGTTTTGTTGCCAGACCGTGGTTTAGATTAATAGAAAACTTATTTTATAGTCGTATGGCAGTAAAAGCTATGTACCTAGAATCGTATTTTAAAAATAAATATCCTCGCACAAAACATACTATCATAATAAGGTTTTTCTTAATGATAACGCTTTAAAAAAGAATTAGTGGAATATTCTATTATCTGAAAAATATTTTATAGAACCTTTAGATCTATGCCAATAGCTTGTAGTGTTCTGAAACTGAAATGTAATATATTATTTTAATAAAGATAGATGCTCAGAATACCAATATTATGACTCCCAAGTAAATAGTTATCTAACTAACTATGAATTTTAGAAGTTTGTGTTTTCTGATGTTCAATATGACTTGGAGTGGTGCAACATGGTTGTCTTTATATTTTAGTAAGATTAGCATTATTTTTGTACCCGTAGCATAGAAGCATTGCAGTAAGTACTGAGATAGGGCTCATTAAGAAACATATCTCCTGAAAACGAAAGAGAAATAAAATAAAATTAATTGCCTTATCAGAAGTTATCGCGACAAAGTTTTTCTATCAAAGGAATATAATACAACAAAATGATAAATTTGATTTAAGCACGTCGACGACCGAATGGCGTAGTGGTTTGTGTAACGGACTGCTATTCCAAAGGTCCCGGTTTTGATTCCCGCTCAAGTCAAGCATTTGTATGCATAAACATTTAATGGTTGATTTGGTCTGGGTGTTTCTATGTATAATTAGTATGTATTTACAAAAAAAAAGTATAAAAATGTATTTGTATAATTTTTCTAGTAGCCACAGTACAAGCTTCGATAAGTTGGGACTAGATAGTGTTGTGTGAATGTGGTACTTTATTATTATTATTAAAGCTTATTTTCTTCTTTTCGATGCATTAAAATAAATAATTTTAATATTATATATAGCATTTTAATAGTTAATAATATTGCTAAATTATAATAATTATAGCACTGTATAGGTAGGTGACTACGTAGCTATAAAAATAACAGTGAAAATACAAGCACTAATAACAGATTGGAATATGGTTGAACTTGAAACTAAATTCTTGTTTGTTTTCATTCTCGGTGATGAAGAACTTGCCCATACGAGTACATTCACATTTATTTTTTAATATGATGACTACCTACTTTAACTATTTATTATCTAAATTTATAAAACGGTGTTAACTTGCTTCGTGTACCTACGCTTCAAAAACTCAAAAAGTTCTGCACCGATTGAGCTCAAATTTTGACGCAATATACAAACCGCTTCAAAGATTCTTCTTATCTATTTTTCGACAGTTTTATTCTTCGTTTCTTATAAATGTAACCACAATCTGCCACAGCAAAGCGTGGCAGTGTACAGCTAGTTTGGTATAAATATTTTAACACCAGTCTTTTATAAACTAGCCGGTTTAAACCCACTGAAAGATTCAAAGCCGATCTTTTGCCCATCTTAACTTGAGATCCATCTCCGTTTTTTCGTTTATGAAGATTAAAAATTAACTCATAGGCAAAAGTTTACTTTTTGTCGCCTTATGATGCACTGGCTGCGTTTGATCAGGCTGAGTGTCTGAAGCGCTTATAAAAAGTGTATAAAAATCAAATATAGGTAAAGAAAACTTTCGATAAAAAGCGGTGCAGAGTTATTTACTAGATTTAATAAAAAGGGAGGTATCTACACAAAATATTAATTTTGCGACACCTAAAAAAATAACTGTACTATCAGTCTTGCGTCTTTACAGTCGAAGAAGATTATTCCGATATACTTACTACAGAGAGATAATCTACCTAACTATGATTGAATGATGTGATAATGTTAATTGGCATTTTTTATACCTACAGAAATATGTATATTGTTTTTGCTTATGCAAATGTTTTTCCTTGTAGCTGGAATGTTGTTTCTAGAAACAAAGGAAGACAATACAGTTATGAAGACTAGCCATTCACAGCATACGCGCTCACTGTTGCCTAATTGCCGGAAACGACAATCCACACCAGAGCTCATGCCGAGTCCACGGCATTTATTGATTTAATGCTATTTTGGACTCACAGTGAAACACAAACAGCTCAATTTTGTATCTTCGTACTTGAGCGTTTAATACGTTCTAACTTTATACGTGGGTATATAATATTGAAGAATTCTCGCAACAAACTTGTCAATTATTAAATTGAACCTTTTTATTGGATAATATAATATGGATTGAATAATAAAGTTAAAATACAACGTCCTATGAGATTTCAAGAGCATCTAGAAGTAAGCTACAAACGAATTAGGAGGTAGTTCTAATAAATAACGTCGAACAAAGCAAAGACATCTTTTATGATTGTTGACACGAGGTGATATCTTATCAATACGTCATGTGATTTTCAATTACAATCAATTTTATGTGATAAATACACTTAGAAATTAATGATATTCGCAGTCTGATTGTCCTTTTCATTTCGATACCTACTAACGGACTGATTGCCATACAAAGTAATTAAAGTAAAAAATAATGATTTTCATTATAACATTGCTGTACTTTGCAGCCAGTTCGTGCACTGCCCGTCCTTTTGAAGAAAATGTGCTCCGAAATGTTATAACAGTCCCTCCTAACTGCCCACCGGGGCAAACATTGGTGAATGGAATATGCAGAGACGTATGGCGTGCTGCTCTTACGGCACCATCTAATGCCATAAACGAGTTTCGAAATGTTGTAACAGTTCCTCCAAACTGCCCACCAGGTCAAGAATTGGTAAATGGAAAATGCCGAGACGTGTGGCGTGCTGCTACTGCGGCACCTTTGCTCGGGTAAGTGCCGTATTTATTTTATCCGACTTAATCAATGAATTATTGTTGAAAAGGTAATGCACGATATAATTCTGAAATAAATCTGCATAGCATTTTGCTACTCTTTGTTAATAATATCGAACGTTGCTATATAAGAGTACTTTTTTATTGGTTCTCTTTTATTTTACACTAGGACGATTTTTTTAGACTGTTTTGGGCTTTATTTATCATACCTAGACAGTCGTTGATACTCCTCAAGAGTCTTCTGTTTAGCCACCTGCACTTTGTTTAAAATTGCATGACAGATACTACTTAATGGTGAGTAAACAATCAAGTGAATTTTCCCTTTGATTATTTTGCATTTATCGTTGTCTTAGTTAAAACGTCTCTTCATAGCCATGGATTCATTTTATAACTACTCAGTGCGCTCAAGGGTTCTTTTAGCAGTATCACTGTGTACACATCGCACTGGTCGACCGAATTTATCGCATTGCCGGTTAGACATGGGAAAGTATTCCAACTAAACTAAACAACAAGTGGTCAATTAAATAACTCAGAGTTGAGTTATTTAATTGACCACTGGCCGTCGGACACATGCTTTATGTCATTATTCATAATGATCCGTCAATGTGAATACTACCCGATCAATCAAATTGTTCCAACATTTACATAAAATTACCGAACCGAATACTGTGTGTTTCGTATTTGATTTCCACTACAGCTAAATTTCCTATTAAAAATTAATAAATAATGATTTTTTATATTGTGGTAAGTGATATGAAAAATATTAACAGAAATATTACAAAGCCCAGCGGAGGCTAAAAATAAACAGACCTTTAGGTGCTATGCGATCTAGCACACTAATAAACATACTTAGTTACATTTTTTTGTGAACAAGCATATATTTTACATAGAACCACCCATAAATGAAATATGGTGAAATCGAAACTCTAAAATGGTTCCACCTACTGGATCTAATCGTGAATCTACACCATCTTACAACCCAGAAACGCATACACAGTATAATTGTTCTTCAGCAGGATTGAAACGGTCATTATTTCAGATAATGGAAATCTATTACTTTTTAAACATTGAAGTACTAAGATTATTTATTTTTAAACCTTCTTAATTTAAAACAGTTCTTTCTCCTTGAAATTGGGAACACACATTACAAAATTCAAATCCGTCAAAACCCGATGCAAACAGCGAAACTTGCTACCTTTTTAGTTAACCTGTCCTTCTACAAAACCTTAGAACAAAACAATAGAACAAACTGCATGTACCAAGAATGACGCAATAATATGTCTTACAGGACTGTTAAACATTGACAGACATTTTATCTATTATCTTTACTATCATTGATGCAGCAATGCACTTAATGAGCAACAAAATTAAAAGCAAAGCTGATGAAATGAAGTAGTTGTAGGTAAATAATGTACCACACAAAGCACACTGGAAGTGCGCACGGAATCTGTTTCTATTTATTCATTTTTAGGGTTCCATACGCAAAAGGTAAAACGGGACCCTATTACTATGACTCCGCTGTCCGTCCGTCCATCTGTCTGTCTGTCCGTCTGTCACCAGACTGTATTTCATGAACCGTGATAGTTGGACAGTTGAAATTTTCACAGATGATGTTTTTCTGTTGCCGCTATAACAAATACTAAAAACAGAATAAAATAAATATTTAAGTGGGGCTCCCATACAACAGACATGATTTTTTTGCCATTTTTACAAATAATGGTACGGAACCCTTCGTGCGCGAGTCCGACTCGCACTTGGCCGGTTTTTTATTTATTGTTTTTCATCTAGCTCCCGAACTATACTACCTTCATAACTTTTTCTGATTGATTAGCTCTTTAATAGTTTATTAAATGTTTTAATGATTGTTTATTACCTACTAAGTATTTATAGTAGGTTTTTACCTATAAAATTGGAGATTTTTAAAACCAGAATTTTCAGATTTATTTATCTGTGTATTGGCGAGCAATTCGAAATGTTGTTTTAATTTAAAATTCAGTAATTTATTTTAGATAGTGTTTTTAGTTTTTATGAAATTGTGGTATTTTTTAGGGCCATGGATAAACTGAAAATTCGTACAATTTTCGAATATGAGTTCCTTGGTGGAAATACCGCTGCGTAAACAACTCGAAACATTAACAAAGTGTACGGTAACACTGCTTGCATAAACACGTCTATTATCGGTTCAATCGCAATCGTTTTAGATCAAAGAGGTTTTGAGTTGAATAACGAGCATATAATATTCCTATGCCTATAATAGTCGGTTTGTAACTATAGTTGATAACGAGGAATTGGAAGCGATAGTGGCTTCCACTATCGCTTCCAATTCCGGATCTAACTTAATCTACAGCTGAGCTTACTACGGGCTTTGGAGTTAGTGTCAAAACAGCATTTAAGCACTTGCGTCAAATTGGAAAGATAAAAAAGATAGATAAGTGGGCGCCACGCGAAGTAAGCGTCTATCAGTAAGACTTACGGGTATTGGTATTGGTATCGGTTGTGGGCTCTGATTTCCGCATTTAGACTAGAGGACCACCGTCCTTTATGCGTCTAGAAGAGGTTGGCTAGGTGAGCCAAACTAGCTCCCTCCAGAAGCGCAGAAGCCTCCTGGGGCGTTCACCGGCTTCTAGGGGCGATTTTGTACAAGGTATGATACTTGCCGAGTTGTGAGGCCACTCCCTCGGATTACCGTGGGCGGCCGTTTTTCTGCTTTCAGGCATCCTCTGCTAAGAGGACTGTCCGTCGACTTAATGATGAATAGTTGTCGGTTCAGGGCTAGCTGTCCTGTTATGGTTCCTGCAACTATTCGAATAGACCGATCAGTCTGCAAGTAAGTCTTGGTGAGACTTCAGTCAGCACCAGTTTGGACTGTCTGCAGCCGGATAAATTTTTCCACCGGGTGAATTTGGTTAAAAGGCAGAGGCAGGAGTGTGGTTGGGCCGGCGGCTGGGGTTGCCGAGCCCCTCCTTGCCAACTCATCTTCAGCGTCATTCCCGTGTGAATTATTATGCCCTTTAATCCATTGGATGAGCACCCCATGTGTTGTGGCAAGCTGCTCCAATGTTTTATGGCATTCAAAAACTATACCAGAGATCATTGTGTTGTGCTCCTCCAGTGTCTTCACTACGGCCATGCTGTCTGACAGTATACAGATGTTATAGTCCTTAATACCCTTTGACATGGCCGTTGTGGCGCCGTAAGTTATAGCCACACATTCGCATTGGAATATGGAACTGTGTTGGCCTAACGCTAGTGATATATTCATGTTTAGGTCTTGTGAGAAAACTTCGGCTCCAGTTCCTGACCTAATCTTGGAACCGTCCGTGTAAAGTCGGACTTCGTTTATGGCAGATTGATCTCGGTCATTTTCTTGTGACAGAACGTGATATCTCCTTGTGAAGATATAATTAGATAAGATAAGATAAAGTTTATTTTCTCTTCCACAAAGATTACTTAATACTAGCTCATTACAGTAATTGCTCAAGACCATTGTGGGTCAAGACTGGCATCTGCACTAGGGAACCCTGTCACACAGATTTCCAGTGTAGTGATTGCAATAGTGTTTTGGGATCCTGTCGCATGGGGCTGCTAATAGTGGCTCATATTCCACGAATTGATCCCATAATTTGTAGTGCGATCCCTCGCCTTTGTGCCACAGACCCAGGTGTTTGACTCTAATGATCGCCATGGCTGCCTCTTGCTGTATGAACAAGTCCAGTGGGGGCAGACCAAGAGCCACGGGTCCCCCCTTTATAGCAGAACTTTTTATGTCATAATATTATTTTGCATAACAACGGATAGATATAAACTACATTTCGCAGAAAATCGTTTGGCAGACACTCATTTATCATACATTCAAAACTCATAATTCTGTAAGTCATAATCATCTTAAGGCATAGACTTCATTTCCATAATAATTAAAATGTAGAAACATCATATCGACGAAAGTTCATAGTCAGAATCGTCTTTGAGCATAAATTTTCATATCGATAGTCATTAAAAGGCAGAACTATCATATGTCAGAAAGTTTACAGTGAGAATCATCTTTTGGCATATATTTCATATCTATAACAATTGAAAGACTATATATCATTTTGTATTTCTTACCATAATACACATATTTTTTCGCGACGGATTTGGTTTTCATTTCTCTATAATAAGCATGCAGCAAGCAGATAGAGGGAACCCCAAGAGCCACCTATAGTGCGGCAGCTGGCGCTGTGCGTATACAGCCAGTGACCCCGGAGTCTCTGGAATTGCTGCAATCTATTGATGACGGTGCTTAACTCTGTTTTTTGCCACCAGGTAACGGCACCGTACGTGATTATTGGTCGTATGACTAATTTGTAGAGCCATAGTATAATCTTTGGTGAAAGTCCCAAGCTTTTGCCGAGTAGCCGCTTGCATTGGCAGAAGACGATGCAGGCTTTGTTTAGTTTCTCTTCGAGGTGCCTATTCCACAAGAGTTTACTGTCTAGTATAACTCCTAGGTATTTGACCTCTTTGGTAAGAGTCAGTTGTGTTTGAAATAGTTTAGGAAGTTTGGGATTTCCTAGACGACGTTTGTTTGTGAACATGATCATCTCGTTTTCGATGGGTTAACTGTCAAGTTGTGTGTCACACACCACTGTTCAACGATCTTCAGTGCGAGTCTCATTTGATCGCATATAACGCTCTCAAAAGGACCACTGATGAGGATAGTCAGATCGTCTGCATGGCCTATTGTGAGGAGTCTACGGTCGTTGAGTTGTGTGATTAATTCATCCACAACAATGTTCCACAGAAGGGGGAGAGTACACCGCCCTGTGGGCACCCTCTAGCCACCACCCCCCTGGTCACTTCCCTCACAGTAAATTGAATAGCTTTATATCTTAGCATGTTGTCGATCCACCCTGAGATTGTGGACTCAACACCATGTCTAGACAGAGCTTGGCTAATGCTGGTGAAATTTGTTTTGTCAAAGGCACCTTCGATATCGATAAAGGTGCCTAGTGTTGATT